TGAAATTTTTGTCAGACTATGTCGATGTTATGAAACAGGTGGTGGAAATACCTTCGCGATCTGTGCAATATCTATAGCCCAACTCTTCAAAGTGAATTGATAGATTGTGCCTTTCAAAAAAACTTACTTTTGATTTAACAAAACAAATAAATTCCGCAAATTTTTTTCTTTGCTTCTTGATACAACTCAAGATATCACAAAGAAAGATCAATAGTATAGTCATTCGAACGTGTCACATAATTCGAGATAAAAATCTGCTATCTCAAAAGTTTGAAATCAAAGAAAACTTTTTTGGGTTTTTTCCAGTTAAAAGGTCATTCTGCTGGAGGAATGACTCAAGAAGTTTTAAATATCCTAAAAAATCTAGATATTCCCATTGAAAAATGTTATGGGCAAGGCTACGATGGAGCCAGTGTATGAGTGGGGCTTATAATTGAGTAAATGCTCAAATAAAAAGAGTTCAACAAAATGCCGAATATGTACATTGTGCAAGTCACAACTTAAATTTAGTAATAATGATGCAGTAAATTGTTGTAAAGAGGTCCTCGCAATATTTTGCCACTTTTGCAAAATATATATTCTCTTTTGGTTTAAGTATTAATAGATGGGATCTTTAGCTTCTTTTACCAGTGAATCCAAAACAACTTTAAAAACATTAAATCCAACTCGTTGGTCAGGAAGGATATTGTCTATTAGTGCTGTCAAACTTCGTTATCTTGATATTATTAAATCTTTAACAGAAATAGAGTTACAGTCTCATAAAAAAGAAGAAAGAGAAGAAGCTTCTTCCATTAAAAAACAAACGTGTTGCTTTGAATTTGTATTTATTTCAACAATGTTGTATAAAATCTTTACCCACGTTAACTTCGCCTCAAAGGTCTTTCAAAAGAAAAATATTGATTTAAGTGAATCTGTGACTGTTTTAGAACAAGTAGAAAAGAACCTTACTGAATTAAGATCTTTTTATGAAATTTTAATGATTGAAGCTACGGAACTGGCTAACAAATGGCATATTCAACCGGAATTCAGGCAAAAACGTCAACCTAAAGTTAAAAAACACTTTGACGAACTCTTAAGTGATTACAGATTAATAATACTCAAATTTTATTTAAAATAAATGTTTTCAATGTTGTTATGGACCGTGTTCTGACACAGATTTCTAATAGATATAGGAGCATGAAAAAAATTAATAAATTGTTTGATTTACTTCTTCAAAAAATATATTAAGTTGCGATGAAACATCCTTTAAAATAAATGTACAGCCATTTATAACAAATATCCTGAAATATTTGATTTAAATAATTAATATTTCAGTATACCAATTTGTTAAATGTTTGTAAAACAGACCTTAAGAATGATCTATCAATTAAGCAATATTTCAATATAATTTTAAGTAAGTATGGAGTACTTGAAAGCGACTCAAGTGAAGCTTACTTAATGTTCCTTAATGTACCTATTTTTTACGTTGCCTGTAACTACTGCAACTGTTGAAAGATCATTTAAGAAGCTAAAACTTATAAAAAAACTATCTTAGGTCTACTACAGGCCAGATTAGATAAAGCGATCTTGCTTTCCTCTCTATAGAGAATGAAGACGCCCAAAACCTTGATATAAGTGATATTACCAACGAATTTGCAAATAGAAAAACAAGAAAAAGGGATTTTTAATTTTATTATTGTTTAATTTTTGACTTTTGTTATTTCATTATTTTAATTGGTGTTACTTTTTGTTTTTATGACAATAAACAATTTTTTTATTATAACATGATATTTTTTATTCTTAAACATACTTACTCATGAGGGCCCCCAAAAAATGTTTGCTCCGGGGCCCCATGACTTCTAGCTACGCCACTGCCCTAAGGACAAAATAACTACGAAGTTAGACATATCGTGCGGCGGCATGATGGAGAATAGCTCTGAGGAGAAAAGCCCGTTAGCGTGGCAGTAGAAAAGAGCCGACGGCCTTGCACAGAATGAGGAGGTCATGAGGATGACAGTCCTTTTTAGCCCTAGATAAATAGCCCAGCTTTTTTCCAGCAGCTTGCCGCCATTGACGAGATGTGTTCGTACGAGGTCAAGTCCTCGGTGATCTGGACTCCGACCAGCCGAATTGAACGGCTCGTTGATAGAACTCGGCCATCAATCGAAACTTGATGAGCGTTAGGTCGCTTCTAGTTCGTTTAAATACAGTACTGTGTTTTGGAAGCAATACACTGTACCAGTTTGTTGCGTCCCCAAGCAGTGATAACCTCGGGGTATCTCGTCAGAGAGGAATTCGCTGCTGTCTTCTTTTCTCCAGCTCACCAGCAGAGATCGGATTGTCAGCCTCAATTCCTACATGTAGAGTGTTGTGTCATCAGTAAGGCTGTGGTTTGGATTGACCGTACAGGAAAGAAGGTCGTTGATATGTAAGATGTCGAAACCAAGATCGATCCCTGCGGAACACCCACGTTGACGTTGTGGGATGAGGAGTGAAGCCCGTCAATTACGCTGG